GTAGCTGCGATTTGACACCGCTGGACTTTTTCCTGTGGGGTGCCGTTAAAGACCGATGTTATGCGGATAATCCAGAGACAATTCCAGCTTTGAAAAACAATATTACGACTGTTTTGAGTGAAATTGGCGCCGAGGTAGTCCAAAATGTCATTAATAATTGGGGTGACCGAATGGCATACTGTAAGGCCAGTAGAGGGAGCCACATGAACGAAATCGTTTTTCATTCTTGACGCGGATACTTTTAGCTTCACAACAAAAAAAAAATTAATAAAAAATATCAATGTATGCTCATTTGATCGCATTTTTAAAAACGTACCAATAGATGGCCCACCTGTACTTGGAATCCCACGTCAATCGTTTATTGGATTTTATTTGAAATTACGAATTTCTTGTAATTTACGCGGTTTAACGAAGAATTCCAGTTTCAAAAACTGCATTCATTCTTATAGAGAAATGTGTTCTATACGATTTAACATAAATTACAAGAAATTCGTAATTCTAAACAGAGTCCAATAGACGATTGACTTGAAATTCTGAATAAAAACACATTTGCAATCTGCTCGATACGGAAATGCTCATAAAACCGCGTAAGAATTATCTTAAAACATTTATGAGGATTTCGTAGTTTTCTGGAAAACCATGTAAACCGTATAAAACATTTCTTTATATAAACGAGTATGATTTTTGAAATTCCTTGTTAAACTAAATGCACGTGTAAATTGCAAAAAATTCGTAATTCTAAAGAGTTTTATAAGCTATTAAAGCTAAAGACTTTTATGAACTAAAGATAAAATGAGCTTAGATAAAATATTGAAAAAAATTATAAGAATTATAAGATATTTATTGTAAAGTACATACAATTATAATATTTTTTGTTTAAAAAAAAAACAGATTTTTTCGTATTAATTCTTTCACACCTGATATTGATAAACTATTAAAATAAAACTATTAAACCTACTAACTATTAAAATAAAAAAAGCTTAAGATTTAAAAAAATAAAAAAAACTTTATTTAATTTAATTCAAGAGCACTTTAATAAATAATTGAAACTAAATAATAAATTTTTTAAAAATTTGAACCATTTTTTCAACATAAACATTATTATGTATAGTCGGGGCCTAAAAAGTTGCAACATTTTTTTTTAATGAGTTTCGGAATGTAGTTTGCTTACCGAGCGATTGATTTTTATAGATCGACAAATAAAAACCAATCGCTCGGTGAGTAGACTGCATTCCAAAACCCATTTTTAAAAAAGTGTTGCAATCTTTTAAGCCCTGATTACATATTTCTGATCTTCGATAATGTCGATAGAATTAAATAATTTCAACAGATCATATCTTCAAATTTGATGTACGTAATTACAATGTACGCCAAGGAGTTGAACATCATGAATATGAATATACAAAGAAATATTACTGTTTCAATTTTTATCTTATTCTGATTTATTATCTGTTTCATTTTCTTATCGCTGTCACTGTCATTTTCTGCATAAGTGCCACTATTATTATTGATGTCATCCTCTGTTGATGCTTCTTCAACAACTTTCTGTTAATTTTGTACTTTGATAACAACTTTCTGCGGCCTATTTAAATCCGATATTTTACTGGAAATATACGATGCGATATTTTTTAATTCATTGTCCATCTTCACCAGACTCCCAAATCCGTGAGATATTTTTTTTTAATTTTAAAAAATAATATAAAATACGTTAATTGTGTATACTTAAAAATAAATATCTTACAATTCTTATAATTTTTCTGAATATTTTATCTGCACCAATCGCGATACGTTTATTAAAAAAACTGTTGTTCCTTTCTGTCTATGTGTATCATATAAATAAGTAACATGAAATAACAATAACAAAAACTTATATTTCGCATTGTTACGTCCGGGGACTCGCACGACTCTTTTCTTTCATAGAGATCTGGAATTCGTCGAAGCACTAAAATTTTATCTTCTTTCCTTTTTTTTCTACTCTAAAAACTAAAACAAGGAATCCGGTATCTCCTCATGAATGTTGCTCCGAGATAAAAATCAATAATAAATACGTATGGAAAGCGTAAGACCGGCGCCAAGATTAACGGTCAAGTCGCGGACGATTCTCGCGAATCCGTAATTACAAAATCTAAGAACGGCACGCGACGTTCAGGAGTAGATTTTGGGTGGTCCCGTGGCGATGATGCATGTGCGCCTTCTTGACGCACGAGACGTGCATTTTCCCATAAATCTTAAGATCATAAAATTTTGAAGAACATTTTCCCATACTGCAGATTCCTGTCAACATCCTTTCCTCCCCTAAAATCTTGACCAATCCAAGAGCAAAGAAAAATCCTACTACCAGCTAATGAAACCTATTCCACAATCCAAATTTGAGTAATCTATACGTTACGTTATAACGTTATAACGTTCACGTTATAATTTCAATCTGTCGCCGTCGCCGCATGATAATTGTTCGCCCCCTGTCGACCGGTCGTTCATGTCCGCTAACACTATCATCATCCAAGGAAAATTAGGCCAAACCGTCTCAAATCCACTCACCAAAACTTCCTTCTCTTTTTATTCTCTATCTATTCTCTCCATAACTCCTCCCTTCCATTCC